CATTAGGACCAGTGATAAAGTCTTATGTCTAATCACTGTAGTTATCAGTGTCATATATTAGAATGAGTCAGGGCCTTGAGGTTGAAGTCTTTATTTGAAGAGGCAGTTACTTAGTGTTAAACTACTAACAGAAATTCTCTTCTCATTGTCTGCTTTCTAAACCCAGATGTTAGCTGTACAGCAGCAGTTTCCATCTGCAATCCATTCAGCAAAAGTTTATGTCACTTCTTTGTTGAAGTCAGTTGCAGGAAAAACAAGCTGTCACATCTCCTCCCGCAAACTCTAATCTGGAAAAGGCGAGAAGAGCAGCAGGAGCAGAAATGCTTCCAGCTGCCTTTTGGGGGGGGGATACTAGCAGGAGGCCAGGGCTGCGCATGGCGATTACATGCCCAGACGAAGAGTCATTCCTGTCATCCGCGCAGCCCCATCTGTGGCAGAAGGGAAGTGATGGAGCAGTTGTGGATTGTGGAGGAGGGTTTGAGCGCTCCTGCTCCCCAGGACGCCAGCAGCTCCCTGGCCAGCCCTTCTCGTGAGCGGGCAGCGCTGCAGCAGCTCGCGGCCCCGGCTCTGACGAGGGTTACCTTGGGCTGCCCAGGGCTCTGCCTTAAAACATCCCACAAAAGCTTCATAAAAGGAGTGATTTAAGAAAATCAGCCTCTGGAAGGAATGCGTTTGCCCCTCCATAGCAGCAGTATTGCCTGGGAGTTAATAGCCAAAGGATTTTTTGGGGGCTGACTCTGCCCTTTTAGGAGGTTTGCTCTCCTCTCCAATTGCTAATGGTAAGAGAGGCATTTTGGAGAAAGCCAAGATGTGAGACCTCTAGCAAATAGGAGACCTGTGGGCTGCTTTGATGTGTCCCACATGCCAACCAGGCAGTTTATCACCATAGGGAGCATGTGGATCAAGCTGGCTTTATTTCCACCCTTTATTCCTTTCCACATTTATTCGTTGAGCAAGTTAATTTAAAGTTTTTCTAGCTGTAGGAAGAAAAAAAAAAAAAACAAAAACCAAACAACCCAGCAGCCATGAACAGACCATTCCTGTAGATTCTGTTCTGGTAAAATGTGAAGAATGACTCATAGCGAGAAGTACTTTACCAGGTTATATCAGGTCAGCATTGAGTTTGTTGTACTTTAATCAGATCAGTCACAGTTGTTTGGGTCTGTCTTTTTAAAGCTCATTTCAGTTGTTTTTATTTACCAAACATTCGCTTTTCTCTGGACGTTGGAAACATGAAGTATTTCTATCAGCAATTTCAACGTTTGCAATTTAGCTGCTACAACATGCAGATCATTTGTGGCGAGTGTTAAGCTGCAGGCAGTAGAAGCCCTCCCCATTGACAGCTATCATATGTGCGTCTAATGCCATTGCCTTGGGATGGATCTCACTTTGTGCCAGGGCCAGGCCTGGTTCGACAGGACAGAAAATACAGTGTTCAAATAAGAAAGGGAAATTTGGGGGAAAATAAGTGCTTTTTAATTTAAAATGGCTGCAATTGCTGTGTGTAAGCATTTAAAGTAGCCTGGAGCTGATTATCTGCTGTGTCTCTAGAAGCAGAGGGTGTAAACACTTGCTGCTGCCGTAACTGAGCTGCTGTCTGCAATTAAAGCTAACTAGTAGTTGCTGACCTGCAGCCTGCTATTACAGGCATCTCTCACTCCCCAGACCTAGAGGAACTGAGCTGCAGCAATTGTGGAAGTTGCACTAGCACAGATGAGCCAAAAAGGTTTGCATTTTCAAATTAGTTACTGTTGCAAACTATTCTAGCATTTAGATGTCTTTCAGACCATGAGCCCTGGCACCAGCCTGCGCTCTTGGGATGGTTTAAGTATGGGCCTGCAATGGGAGCAGGCTATGCTGTCAGAAATCTGCAGCAGGACCCTTTCCTATCATCTGTTTGATTTGCTCTCTGGCTCCAAGTTACAGGCTGGCCTTTAAGGTTGTTTGGCCAAGAAAGGATTTTCAGAAGACTTGCATTCATAGTCAGGGTGCTCAAAGTGTCCTGGACTCAGGTCTCGCCACAGTCACATATGCTGTACTTATTCATGAAGTTTGCATCAGCGGCTCTTTGGCAAGGGACCAAGCTCTATCATGATCAATTCCAGGAACCTACAACTAGTTTTACCTCTCTGTCTTCTCATACTCTTTCTTACAGGTTTGTGCCTGCCTGGAAGGCTGTCACATGCACAAGTCGTGTCTGTCAATCTGAAAATGTACTTGGGTCTTTGTTTTTCAAGTAGGAAAGAAACTTCAAGGAAGAAGTAGCAGAACTTGGGTTTGTGCAGTTGCTGCACATGTGAGCTTTGGCTGGGTTTGGTTTTGTTACAAGCTTGCAGCATTAGAGGTATTTTTAAAGCTCATTTAGTTCACCGATAGTTGAGAGTTTCTGCTAATCCTTGCTGAAGCCTTGATTTTTGACACAGGACTTAATCAGCATGTTACTTCTCAGTGCTACCAGCAGCACACAAAAAGTTGAAATGATTAATCAAGTTATTTGAACAGATTTCAACAGGATTAAGAATTAACTGGAGTTCACCAAAATTTTCCAGCTGAGATGCAGACTGGGGTTTTTCTTCTACTCAGGACAGCAAGTTAACATGTAACAAGACAATTTATCTCATTTGGGCAGTCCTTGTAACTTAAGCTTAAATGGTGCGTAGACGGATATTTTCAGTGTAGAAATGGCCACAGGTTTCTGGCAGAAAAGTGTTTTTCAGGCTCAGTCCTTTAAATACTTTGATGACTATTCATTCACAACCTTTTAAAAGAAAGAAGCATCTGGAAAGCAATAACTGGCAATGCTGGATTTATCTCATTTGTTAAAATTCCCCTTGGACTGGGACTGATTGTCCAAGGGCACGCTGGCCTGATAGATGGGGTTTTACATACCCCCAAACACCAGTGAAGTTCAGCTCTGGATCTGAACCTCACAGCTCAGGTCCATCTCTTGGTGAAACTGAAAACACTTGCTGCTTTATGCTGGCAGCTGGAGTGTACAAAACAAATATTTCAAAATTTAATTTGAAGTGTGGTTATGGTCAGAGAAGTGACTGTAAAAAGGCATCTCTTACTCAATAGATACGCTCCCTCTGCGTCCTTCAGGCATTTCTGCTGATCTTACTGATTCAGGACAAGTAGTTACTACTGTGGGTGCTGCAAAACCAGTAACACTGGTGCAAGAGCTGGATTCCCTCCTGCTAGGTGCATTATCAGCAAAAGTATTTGCTCTTTTCTAGTGCAGATTTTGAATAATTGGATGATGGGCCACAAGGGAGAATAAAGCAGCTTGATTTTTCCAACTGAAGAGAGATTTTTGGTCTCAAATTAGAAAAAATTGACTGGAGAGTATTTAAACTAAGCCAATCTGATCCAGAATGACTGAGAGTAAATCTGAAACCCCTCCATGTCACTTTAACATCAGCTTTTAGAGGCCCTCTTAAATAACACAGGCAAACACTGGTTCCTGGCTTGTTTTTGCAAGCACTATGTTGCCATTTTTCCTTGACTCATGTTTCTTGCTTATTTAATGTTGCAGTGATGATTTCCAAGTTGATAGATAAAGTCACACATGAGAAACTCGAGGGCTAGGCAGTGGAGCAGTAAGGTCATAGAAAGAATGGAGCATGTAATTCTAAAAGATTTTTCTGTGGGATGTGCTGATGATTCTTTAAAATTACTTAGTGGAAAAATTCTAGGCTGCAAAGCAATAAATCTGATCTTCAAGTGTGGTTTTACTTTGAAAAACAACAATGTAAAAATGCCACCTTTGTGCTCAACAGATCTTTTCTTTGTACATACGAATCCAGAGACGTCTTCCGTTTACTGCATTGCCAAAAAAAATTTTCTCCTGCTTTTTTACTCCAGTTACCTTTGAAGAGCCTATGTAACTCCAAGGACCATTGGTTGGGCTCTGTTTCCTGTTTTGAATCAGGAGCATTGTTATTCCTGCTTTTTAGTTTTCATTTCTGAGACAAGAGGTGAAAAAAATATTTAAGCACATGAAAGTGCAGATACTTGCCTCGTGGGAATTCCCAAAGAACCTAACCTGTGCAATCCTGTTAGAGTCTCCCTCTGTATTTATGTGTTTAGCTGCTTTAGAAAGTCCGTCCCATACCAACTGAAGAGTCATTCATGTTCAAGCTTGATTAATGATTAATCATATCAAAGAGAACCAGTTGTGATAAACAGCACTTCTGGTCATTGACCTCCATTGCTTGAAGTGACACATGAAAAGAAAGGATCCCAGCTCAGTTCTTGCACCCTAAACTAAACTGTTTGCCTGTGTTACTTGAACAGAATCTAATGTGGGAATCGCTGGCGTGCAGAAAGCATGGCATATGACAGCATTTTTGCAGGATTTTTCAAAGCAAAGTTGCATGCTGAATACACGCATCGTCAAGTACAAATATCTGAGTTCTGAAACCTCCCCTGGAGCGGCTGGGCAGGAAGGAGGGAATGCAGCAAAACGCCCTTGGAGAAATGAAGTTAGTGTATTTTTGTAGCACTCTCGGGCACCTGTTACATGTGAAATTCTAAGAGCCGAGTTACGTATTTTTGCCTTTCTCCAGGAGATTTAATGCTTTTTTTGACTTTAAAAAAAGCAATTTTTAAACATTTCGATGTTTTGCAGAACAGCTGGAGTGATACAGAGGATATGGAAAAATAACAATCTGTCTACCAAACTTTCATGACTAATCCATTACTTTAAGTTTAAAATAACAATAAAAAAATGAATTGAAGAACAGCTTGTTGATTTCTAACTGTGTTAATGCAGCTTAGCGTATAAAGTTACAAAAGCAGAATAAGACCCTCATGAAGAGGCAGCCTCATAATGATAGCAATATATCTGTGAGACAGTGGTAAATAAGAAATGTCTTCTCAAACAGAATAAATAAGAAATAAATAAAGAAATAAATAAAGAAGAAATGTCTTCTCTAATCTAATTTTTCTTCTTCCCTAGGTGTATATGTGTTAATAAGATCCCTTCTTATTTCTTCTAGGCACCAGTAACAGATGTGCAGTTTGGCCCTATGAGACTTCATCAAGATCAACTTCAGGTAATACAACAGTTCAAACCGAAGTCTTAAAGAAGTTTCTAAAACATCACAGATGTTAGCTTAAAATTTATGACTGGAATTTTTTGAGTATAGAGGTCTTCACAGAGCATTTTTGTCAAGTGACAATGTGCACCTAACAGATTTTTATGACGACATTCTATGTGATGTCCTAAAAATCCTGCCTAACTATTTTCTCCAAACATCTTTCAGCTCATAAAAATAGAGCTATCTGTAGTTCTTTCTGCTATGAGTTAGCTCGTAGTCAATTTAGTGTGTGCCTTGTTTTGTATTTTACTGGTAGTCAATTCTTAATCAAAATCTCATCAAAATGATACTAAGCCAAATGTTCTGTCAAGGTCTGTTACACCAGCATTATTAGTAGCATCAACCAAACTTGCAATATCATCACAAAAGGTATGAAGTGAGCTTGGCAAAGTATGTTTTTTTGTTATTCATTGTTGACCGGGATTAATTCATCCTCGTTTATCTCTTTATTAATAAAGTTCGTATGTCAGTTGTCCCCTTACTTTGTCTGGGATGGCTGTGAGGTTTGCAGATATATGACTGCTTTGGACTTCCACTGAAAATTCTCCTGTATCCCAAGGCATACTGAACCATTAATAATCCAAGATGGTCCTCAGTCAGTAATTACCAAACTCCTGAGTGAAAGTAATCTGGACCTGAGAATTTGAAAATGTCTGTCTTCAAGACCTGCAGTTCAACCTCTTCCTGAGCTATTGTCAGAACAGACAGGAATATCATCAAACATAAGATTTAGGACAGCCTCATCCAGGTGTTCCCCAAGTATAAATCAGAAACATTCCTCAAATATTTCTGCTTCCTTTATTGTTATTAATGATTGTATCGCTTTTGTCCAGTCAGGCCACTCTCAAATTCTACCGATTTATCCTGGTAATATAGCTGGCAGGTATGAGGGAAGGAGAAGTTAGACAACATCACATTTGTGCCAGAGTCAATCATGCAACTCAGATCTACTTACTTTCTGTGCTATTGCTGAAAACCATTCTTCCACTCTTAAAGAGTGTATAAATTAACTTCACTAAATATAGCCCAACCTATGACATGTTTTTGCAAACAGTTTTGCAGGTTGCTATAAAAGGAATCTGAACTAAGTGAGTACAAAGTCCTTCATTCTTACGAAAATATGCAGTGCATGGAAATGTTAAGATTTACTGGTAGACGTTCCACCAACCTGGCCCAAAGTGTAACCAGCACTGGAATTCCTAAAACCACTCAGAAGATAAACGGCAGTGGGATGAGTGCAAGTTACACATGCTCCTCATTATTGTCTGAACAAAGCATATATCTAAGTGCGGTTTGATTAAATTACTGAAAGATTGGTGTCTTGGGACAATGGACCAAATGCTGGTTTAGTTTTCCATCTTTCCCAAAAGGCTGCATATACTGCGTCATCCACAAAATCAACACTAGCATAGATCTATAGTCTGCCATTCTGTGTATTCTTTCAGGCAAAAGAAGTTTTCTCCTACAAAATACTATCTTGACGCAAAGCACAATCACATCAATGAGTCTTCCTTAGCGGACTTTATGTTTATCTTCTGTACCATGTTCAATCCTCGAATTTGAAATATGTTTTAGAAGGAATTGGGCCTTATCATACTTAAGAGTATGTAGGCGTTGTATTGATTTTAAAAAGGCTCAGAGAGATTAATGTTATTGACAATTACACAGCAAGTTAGGACAGACCAAATACTGGCTTATAGATCTGACTTCCAGTTCTGGATTTCAACCACGGTAATCTCCTTCTATGCTATACATCTCATGGCAAGCTTTGCATAGGAGTCACATGGGGATGTAGTCGATATACAGAGGTACTGCTTATGATTTCAGTCTTGCATTAATTCATCTTGACCAGCCTGTCTATAGTTTCCAGAAACCCCACAGAGTGGGTTGCATCCAGTACTTTGGGGAACTAGAATGAGATGAAAAGGAAAGCACATTTTCATCATGCCATTGAGGCACTGTTAAATATTAATTCAGATGAGGTGAACCATGGCTTTTTTTTTTTTTTTCTGGCATATGATCATGGCAAGAAAAATAAAGCCCAGGAAAACAGTTGTATGTGAGACAATTTCAGTGAAGAAAAGTAGACTTGCTCTTATTTCATGTACACTGTCTGAAACGTAGGCATCTAGTCTCAACTGATTGCCTAAGCTCTCTTTGTACCTAATGACAAGAGAGCCGCTTCCCTAACTTGTTCTTCCCATGTGGATATAAATGGCTCTGGCAGACTATTTTATCCACTTGAAACACCTGTCTGTACAGACAATTATAAAAAGCAATAGTCTGTAGAGAGCAGTTCTATTAAAAACAATGGATTAAGCCTTGGAAGTGGCTTTAAAAAACATGTTAAGAACAGGCAAAAGTCACAGAATCTACTGTATATGTAAGAAATGTTTATAATGATTCACTGTCTGTCTTTAACCCAGGTACTTTTAGTGTTTGCCAAAGAAGATAACCAGAGTAACGGGTTCTGTTGGGCATGTGAGAAAGCTGGATTTCGATGTAATATTGCCAGAACACCCGAGTCGGCACTAGAATGTTTTCTTGATAAACACCATGACATTATCATTATTGACCATAGACATTCCAGATACTTTGATGCAGAAGCATTATGCAGGTAAGCACCATTTCAGTGTAATTAATGCTTAATTATATAGTTAACACATCATCAAAGTTTTTTTGCTTTTATATGACCCTTTCAAAGAATCTGTCGAACGTTGATATTTTTTTGGACAGGTGTCCACTGGCAGCATCAAATAATGTTACCTCAGTGCTTTACATCTGATAGCTGCAGCATTTTTGGTTGTGTGCTAGGATATCTGAAGCTCAATCTGTCTTGGAGCCACAGTGTACAAATTTCTTCCCATAGTGAACTGTTTTTTTTTTCAAATACCTGGTTCCTTGTTTGCACATTAAATTAACTCCAAAGATCACATGTGCCACCAAGCAATTTAATGAATACATTCACTTCATTAGCGTTCTGAATTTTTTTAAATGTCACTTGCTGTTGAGTAACTCCAGATGCAAATAGACAATGTTTTGTGTGCACGTTTCCATACCTACAACGTTTGAAAATCTGTTATGAAGAGCGAAGTTGCAAACTGATTCCAAAAATACTTCACAAACTGCTGTAAAGTATGAAAAAAGGGGAAAAGGATTTGCCTTTTGGAGTCTCTCCACAGAGACTTGACAGGCAGTGGTGCCTTGCTTCAGTGACTTTCCAGTGAAATACCCCTTGGGGATGCGTCTAGACTAAGTAACAGTCTGTGGGGTGGGGGTGGCGGGGTCAGATTATGTGCCCGGGTGAGTGTGGTGGGTTCAGGGCACTGGGACAAAGGCTCTTCTCCTTGCTAAACTAAAGTAACTAGATAAGATCTTTGTCAGGCAAACACTAGGTATCAGCGCTGTTCCCCTTGTTACATTTTTTACCGTTCTGTCCCAGAATAAAGTAAAATACTCCTTAAATGAGCGAGGCCAAGTCCTTCAAACAAGTCTGTTACGTGCAGTTTCAGAAGGGAGAATTTTTGCTCTTCCCCCACTGAGAGTATTTGAGGTTTAGATTAATCTACATTCTCTGTGTCTTTTTTTCATGGAGTCTCAGATATTGTTAAACTTATTCTCCTTTCTTAGTGGTCCAGCAGGCTCTGGATTTGATTTTTGTTTTGCTGTTAAACCATTTAAAAGAGACATTTTAAGAAAAGCACTGTGTGAAGATTCTGTAAAGTTATGTTTTCTGAAACGGGAAGTTAAAAAAATGGTAAATGATTTGCTTTTTATTTGAAGGTCTATCAGAACAACGAAACCCTCAGAAAATACAGTCATTATTGGTGTAGTACGAAGGTAAATACTCATATCTTTACTTTCACATGTGACCAACAAAATGTAAATCTTATCATTGTAAAAGTAAATACTACATTAAAAAACTTGAATTAGAACTTCTTACCGTGCTAGTGATAGTGTGTTATACCGTATAGAGTTTTCACCATCCTTGACTACAGGATTGGGACAGGATTTCTGATTTCTAGTTTTTACTAAAGAGGTCTCACATTGGGTTTTGTTTTGGTTTTGGTTTTGGTTTGGTTTTTCCCCTCTCCTGATCACTGCAGGCTTTAGGAGTATGTTTCAAACAACCTCTGCAACATCATGTACAGAACCATGGAACTGCCTCATAGATCTGTATTTTAGTATTAATAAAAATAACAGTTTGAACCTTTCTTGATCTGTCTTTCAGTCTGATTAATCTCAGCACAAACAGGAGATCTGTTGAGTTACAAAAAAAGATACAGAACAATTTGATTACTAGAAAGTAGCATCTGACCATAGAAGTTTTAAAAGTAAAATAGACTATATTATGACGTTTCAGTAAAGCAGTGCATATGTTTTTTTCTTCCTCCTCCCTCTGAAAACATTATTTGTATATCATAAAATAATGTAAAAGTAACAAAAACGCAATATATTTAATCTGAAATGAAATAAATGGAAGATAATTTCCTCAAGGTACAATTTTGGGAACGTCCATTTCTTTAGAAAACATTTATTCTGAAAACCAATTCTGAGATGTTGAAATTTCCCATTAAAAATCCTATTTTCCACCACCATCTCTAGCAAACAAAAGACCCTAATTAAACATCTCAGGGGATTCCATTGTGAATATCCTCTTCAATGTTTTTATGTCAGGAAGTCTTCTGACTATGGTAACCATTGCTTCTACAGTCAGAATTGTCTCTCATCAGACTAACACAAAAGAAAAGAGAAAAAAAGGAGCAGAAGAGCAAACAGTAACTCAAGAGCTGCTTCATGTACATCAGAGAGAAAGACACCTGTGGTTCTGTGGGCCAGCAGTTCCTTTCAAAAGTGAGGAGAGCTTGGAACCTGGGCTTGCTGACTCACAATTAGGAAGTTGCTCAAAAGGGGTTTTTCCCTGCAATCCATCTTTGTCTTGTTCGCATTGTGTGTTGGGACAAGATAATAGCCCCCTGCGGTGACAATATCTCAGAAGCTTGGGTTCTCAAACTTTTCAGATGTGTCTAGTATCCCTGTCTACTGAAAGCTTCAGAAGTGAGTTTGCTTTCCTCTGGGACTGAGTTGACTGTGTCAAGTTCCCATGGGCTAAACACAAGCGTTCTCGAGTTGCCATTTAGAATTTCACAGACAGCAAACTTTCACACATTTCCTTTCTTGCTGCAAGAAGTGTATTTGTGAAAAAGCCTGACATTTAGCCAATAGCATATGGAGAGTCTTCTCCTTCATTTTCCTGCGGTCCAGTTTGTTGGGTTTTCCTTTTTTTTTTTTCCCTGCAGAATGCCTGTCCTCTTTCTTTGTGCTTCTGGGGGGCAGCATTACCAGATAGCTGGCATGAGGAATGGGGAGATTTTTCTGACAGCTGCCCTTCTCTCTCTGCTTAATCTTGGGCAAACTTTGTACTTTAGGAGGCATCATTCTCTTCATGCATAAGAAACAAGTGCACGGAAAACAAAAAGAAGACGTGCCCTAAGATCCAAAATTTCACACAAAAATAAAAGCTATTGTACCATCTGCTAAACCTGACCGGCTTCCATCTGCTCATTTACAGAAACTTAACATAATGGCCTTTCTTCCAGATTCCAGCCATACATTCACATATGTTGGAGTGTCTTTTAACAGTTAGTATAGCCAAGTTTTTCAAAATGATTCATATGTCTCATTTTAGGAGTATGTCATCCCGAAGTGACCTATTAGAAGGCACTGGGTAGGCAACACTAGAAAATCCATTCTCATTCAGGCATCTTGAGTTGCCCACCTAAGATTTGGTACACTTAGATAACAAGTAATTTCTTAAAACTTTGGCCACGTAGGCTTTCAAGTGCATCTTTGACTAAGGACAGCATAAGCAACAAAGAATCCAGTACAAAGAAAGAAGCAATAGCCCAACAATCTAGCTAATTAATTTGTTTTCTTGAAGCATTAGTTTTTTGTGAGGTAAGCAGCTCATTACATGCAAAAAGGAAAAGAACATTTTGGCTTATCTATGCCAAAGATGAAAGCTTATAAAAACCACAAAAATATGTTTTATTCATAGATCCTGTAAGGATCTAGCCATATTAGCCTTTAGTGTGACATCTGGGGTACAGGTATGTCAATGGCTTGTGAAATTGATTACAGAAATAAGCTCTGACTTCATCATCCTTCTTTAAAAGGCATGCTGATCGTGAAGAGTCATCAATATTGCCCCTGATCTCTGCTGGCTTCACAAGGGTATGTATGAATTATACTCCACTAGATTGCTCTGACGTTTCAAAATTGTCATGCAAGAAACTATCCAGAAGTTGGGCTGTCAGTGACCGTTTGTGTCTGTAATCCAACCTCTAAATCTTGATCATGCTGCTCATTCTTTTATATATCCCAATTCTGAACTGCCATACACAGTAGAATTAGAATAATGCTGACTAAGTAGGTGGACATTCTTGGGAATATAAGAAGTGGTGCTGAGACTTTTCTACTTTATACATTTATTTCAGAGTAAGTATATGATGCTCTGCTTGAAAAGTTGACATTGACAAAACTGACTAGTGATTATAGCAGAGCCAGAGAGCAGCTTGCAATGAACAGCAGAATGTGCTGTGGGAAATCTCTTCTATCAGATGACAATTCACATCTGTAAACAGGCTTCAGACACTGTCAAGTGCTATTACCTATTGTTTGGAGGCACCTGAAACGTATTACATTGAATCTGTTCCTTGGCAACTGTTCCAATTAAGCAGGAAAGGTGCTTATTAGTGCGTCAGTTAAGTGGATTCCTCATTGCATTAAGCTGACAATGGAACAAAAATGTGCATGATTTACAGTGTGATTCAGAGTATTTGGTTGCATGCTCACCAGATTTTTTGCGATCCCATCACAATCATTTGCACCTATTTGCTTATTTGTAGTAAGGTCCTAATACAGGAAATGCTAGAGCCTGAAAATAACTGTACTTAAATGCACAGAGTCATTCCAGTGGGCACGTAAGTAATCCGATGCAGGTTCTGAATTATTTATGGATCAGAGCCTTGGAGTTGAGGCTAATGGCAAAGCGTAGAAAATTTTGTTTAGCAGCCTTGATTTGGTGGCTTATCTTTGAGAATCAGTCCTCCCTCCCAAACTATCAATGTCCGTGGCAGTTTAGCACCAGCAAAGGTTTAACATTCAGGCTCTCATCTGGTAAATATGAGGTGTTTTAAAAAAGAATCAAAGATACTGAGGTCATTGCAATACAAGCCCCAAAATGAATAATTGTATCCAATGGCAGGTATATTTGTCAGGAAGTTTTGCTTTCTTCTGTGTATACAATTTGGGGTATTAGCAATTGGAAACTCATAATAATCTCAAATTTTGATGACTTGAGACACAACATAATGCTTTCACTGTTATTTTAAATAAGTAGCATGAAAGCATATAACTTCACTAAAAGTATACTATTTTATATATTGATCGTGCTGACAATCACAGAGAATAAACAAAATGGTTGAACCTCATTGCCATGAGGATCTGTCACCTTTTCAAAATGCAGTAACCTGAAGAAGTTTTCTAGTCCCAAAGAATAATCTTCTCATGTTGCTTCTGTTACATGTCCATTTTTGGCATATCTGCTCCTTTTTAGTTCTTTATCAAGCAAAAGAAAATAGAGCTTATACCCTTGAGTACGGAAATGTGTATTAATGAAATATTTCTAACCTTTTATTTACAGAGATATGTAGAAAACTCTAATATAATGGCCTGTTACAATGAGTTGATTCAGCTGGAATTTGGAGAGGTGCAGGCACAATTCAAACTAAGGTAATTTTGCCAAAAACATTGTCAACAAAAAAAAGCCAATTCAGCCACATCCTTAAAAGAGTATTTATTTTACTGTACTGTAGTTAATTATAGAATGTCAGTTAGCTGAAGAAAATATGTTAATCATTAAAGTACAACTTTATCCAGTATGGAGTTGCAATACCATGTTGTCATATACAATAAGAATTACGTGGATTAAATTTAATCAGATGCCTTTTTTTTTTCCCTCCAGGGCGTGTAATTCATTATTTACAGCATTAGAGAAAAGTCAAGAAGCCATTGAGATCACAAGTGAAGACCACGTAATACAGGTTTGTTCCAGTTATTTTTATAAGTACAGAAAATTGCTCTGTGGACTGACTGTATTTTATTTCACCATGATTACATTTACTCTTTCTTACAGTACAAGAATCTAACCTAACTTAATAGTTCTAAAAAGATTGGAGTGAGTTTAGCTGTGGAGTAGAATTTTCTCCATTTAAAATACCTTGCACAAATCAAGTCAATTTTAAGGGATATTGTTGTTTCTGAATTAATAAGGATTTACTCTCTTGTTTTTATTTTTGTAATGATTCTTTTGTATCATAAATGGATGCCGCCACTGGCTTGTATGCATTCTTTTCCAAAAATATTATATGTTAATTTGATGCTATTGAAAAGCAAATCTAATTGATGTTCTATTTAAATAAAGGTAGTACACTTTTTTTTTTTTTTTTTTGCTTAAATGTGATACTGTTTGATGCATCAGAATTCTTGGGCCAACTGTTTTTTAATGTAATCCTGTCTTAAAAAATTCTTTAAAAAAGGGAAAAGAAATTGTGCTTAGGTTTGCAGTCCTGAAAAACATCATCTTTATAAGGGAGTTAGTTCCATCCCAAGCTATGAAGGCTGTGAGGAGTGATTCTATTATCAGTAAAGAGCTTGAGTCTAAGCCTCTGGGAGTTATAACATGCATATAAATTGTACCCTCTTGACCCAAATCTTGACAATGGCAATTTTATTGAAGGATGTGCCGCCTTCATCCCTTTTACAAAAATAACAGAACACATCCTGGAGTTGTTTTAAATATGTTTTTTCAGACCAAATTTTGTCCATCTGCTGACAGCCCCAGAATATGAGAGATCCAACACGTGCAAGAGTCCTGGAGCTCCAGCAGACAGAGCTTTCTCACATGGGGGGGAGGGGCGAACAACCTTTTGGAAGGAACCTTTAGAGGGGAACCGTTAGGAGCAGAGGGCATCCAGTGGCACCCTTCTCATTTTTCTCATATTGAAACATTGTGAGGCATTCACATGCTGTTACGACAGGTCCTGTGTCTGTAACTCAGCTAGCGAGGGTCATGAAGGTATGGTCTTTAGTTTTATTGGGCAAGGGCCACAGAATTGCAACGAAATGCAACGTTCAGTTCAGAGAGAAAGTTGCTTTATTAGATTCCACTTCTTCTGGTCTCCTTGGGTGAGCTTTGCCTGGACAGGGGAATAGTGATGTTTGGCCCTTACACACAATAAGATGATGAATTTGTCAGTAGATAAGGTTAATATTCCTATGGTATCCCACCATCTAGTTTGTGATTTTTAGGAACACTGAGTGAGGTAGGTTTGAGGTTTATAGGTTTGAGAACTGACAGAGCTCATTTTTCAAGAATTTATGTCATTTACCTAAACTCTGTGGATGTGTAATACTCAGCTGTTTCCATAATTTCCCTCTCTTTGCTCACATGCACACACTCTGCACAGCTCTTCTAGCATGGACGTTCCTGTTTTGATTCACAAAGGAAAAAATGTAGGCATCTCTCTCAGGAGCAGTACATACAGAGATTTATTTCAGGCTGGAAAGAGATCCCTTGGTTTAGCAAATAGGAAAAAAGGGATTCTGTTGTGCTTTAAGTATTCTATTGAATGGGTTTTGTTTGTTTTTATTTCACAGTATGTCAATCCTGCTTTTGAAACAGTGATGGGCTATCAAATAGGTGAACTAATAGGAAAGGAATTAACAGAAGTGCCTATAAATGAAAAAAAAGCTGATTTCCTAGAAACCATTAATTCCTGCATAAAGATAGGAAAGGTGAGTAATGACATTGTATCACTTATCATTTGCTACCTGTAAAAGTTATTGTCCAGGGATGACACATGATGTAACTTGCAGCTTCACAGACACGCAGCATTTGCAGTTTTCTTACTCAAACAAGAAGAGGAAGTAAAAAATGCTCATTTTTTAAGGGCTTCTTTATCTTTTCTTGCTTGGAAGAGGTATGTGCTTTATGAAAATAAGTGAGTTGCAGTGTTTCTTTCTTTCTCGCTTTACATTCTTGCTGTATGTAGCAAAAGGTGTGGGAACACCAAAGAGAAATGGGATGGACGCACATCTTATCCAGCATGATGTGAATGAGAAAAGAACCATGTTGAAGTATTTCAGCATGAAATGTGGAAGCTGATTTGCAAGTTCAGAATGTAAAAATACCAGAAGAGACATTTGCAATATCACTTGAGAGTGACAGGCAGTGTCAGCTGCCAGCTGCCAATATTTTTTATTCTCTAATGATATGGGAGCTGTCTAATGGATTTCCATTAGAAATGTTTGTTGCACCAAGAAAGTGCATGAGGAAGTGCAGCTGGCTTCAAGGGAGGTCATTACAGAGAGACATTACTGTTTGCCTGGTAGCTCCATGATGTTCCTTCGGGACTGTTGTGGCTGTAGTGTGAGGATCCATCTAGGAGCTTTCATTTGCATTTTGACATTGAGGTGTAAATGCTTCTGATGTCATTGAACATGTCATAGTACCTTGTAGGAAGAAGATCGTGGAGGTTACACAAAAGGATTTGGGAATTGGTGTGTTTGTAGATGCATCATGGCCCATGCTCAGACCTGAGTCAGGATAGCTAGTTGGGTCATACTGATGGTCCGCGGGGAAGCAGCATGTTATTGACACAGAGAAGGGAGACGCTAAAATGAATCATGGCACTCTGTGTATCTAGGCAGTGATGCAAAAGCACCGATGCAAAGTTGTGATGAGTCACACTCTGTAAATCAGGGTATCAACACAAGCGTTCATCAACAAAAGCTGCACTCTAGCTGGGTGCAGATTGCACGTGCATTTCAACAAGAACGTGTCACTCATTTCTACATGTATTGACCTTTTGGAAGAGATCCCAGCAATAGACAATAGCTTGGGTTATGGTGCTTCGCACCTCTCTTGCCTGACCAAAATTATTTCAGTAAATGTGTGTAATATAAAATTGATGTTAAGAGGGAGTATTTATTAAGTTATAATTCAAATACATTAGATGTGTCAGGCTTTAAATCCACAGCATCAATTCTCAAGATATGACATGATCAAATTTTTAATATTTTAGTGTACTGATAAAAATGTCTTTAATAACGGAAATATATTTTACTCTATGAATGACAGAAATCTAACCCTAATCCATCTCCTTCCTTGCACTTATTTTACTCTCTGACTTTAGGACTTCCAACTGTGAAGGCTAATGAAATACTACTTATTTAAATCTGTCTGTCTGGAACAGCTTAAGCTGTGTTAGGTGGATATATTCTGTTTACTTGTTTTTTGTATTTCCTTTTGGAACATTTTATAGTATGCAATCTATGTAGCCTTACATTTACATATTAACAGAAAAATGAATTGCAAATTAAATTCTTACAGGAATTATTTGTGAGTAGAAGTTAACCATGCTGAACAACCTTTGAAATACTGCAGCCTTTTGAAGGTGCTTTAGTTTGAAATCATTTGTGTCAAGATGTTACAGCATTTTCAGAGGCAGCTAACTTGTGTCTGGATCATTCTGACATGGTCTGTATGTTGTTTTCAGGCTTGTGATTTCTTTATATTCTAAATTTAAAAGACTGCTTCACATTACAATAGGCTATATATTGGCTACTGTAGGTTATAGCATACCAAAAAAAGCGAAGTGTCTACTATTGTGATATTCTCCTGTCAACAGATTTGGCTTTTCTGTTTTGAACAAACATGGTAATATAACAAAAATAATAGAAAGCAAGATTTTCTGATCTTCAGAAAAATGTAAGCTGTATAAAATCTACCTCTAGTTTTTAAATGGAATTTAGGAAGATGAACTCTTGCAGCATTTCCCCTCTTGTGCTGACAAACATAGCACTGTGAGCAAGTTCAGTATATCCAAACAAAAGTTCATAGGTATTATACACAAAAATTGCTAATTGCATAGTACATAGGGATTCTTGGGTCAGGATGTTGTTTCTCTTAGCAAAAAAAAATATCTCTGGAAGTTCATTTTTTGTTACTACAGCTGGCTATAATTTGCAAGAAGCCAGCGTTATTGAAAGGCATTTTCACCCATCCATACTTGAGGAGTTAAAAAACAAGTTGTACTTCCTTCATTCTTCTGTTTCATGATTCAAATTACATCCATTAAGATGAAATGTGCAATTCTGACTAGAATTCTTGCTGCCTCTGATCTCTGAAGTTTGACACAAAGCTCTTTGTCTTAGTTTCGCTGTTTCTGAAGTGAGATGGACAGCTATCGATAAATCAGACAAGACATGCAATTCCTCTCACTGCTTGGGAACTATTTGCAAGATAGCTATCTTTACAGAGGGGGTGGGAGAGCGATCACACTCTATGGTAAAGGTCTATGGCAATTCCTTCCTAACTCAGCCTTACTTTCTGTGAGATTGTTGTCATGACATCTTGTGTTTATTTCGGCTTCCTCTGTTTTCTACAAGTAGCTTGCTGAACTTTGCTGTCTAGTGCAAGAAGCCCCAGTCTAAAAGGAGGGCTGAACTGGGGGATTACTTACTGTGCATGTATGAGTGCTCAGTGGATAGATGCATGCCATGGCCGCCTTCATGAAGTTTGAAACCTCAGCGTTGATTCACTCTATAAAGGGTGAAACCATTTTTTTTACTGTGTATGGTTTTCACTCTGCATTCAATCCCAGCACGCCAGGCCATGCAGAAGTGACTGATCACTGTACTTGCGAGGCTGTAATGTAGACACAACGATGAGCTTGACTGACAGCACATCTTGTGAAGTAGCTCTTCTGTGTTGGATTGCTGACAGAGGCTCTGTGAGCAAACATATGGTGTTCTTAAAATATGTTTAAGTAGCGTCCCTGGGAGAACTTTACCTACCAGCAGGAGTTTGGCTTGGACTTCCTATTTCTCAGAATTCTGCTGACCTTTTCCCTCACACATTTCCTGCCACAGTTTCACAGGTTTTAGAAATTCACAAGTTGAAAAATTGATCTGTTGACTAAGAAGAACACATTAGTGAATAACCTGTCTTGAAAAGGATGCACTTTCAATGTGGGAATTATCCAATCTGTACCTTATGACTTCACCCCTCTGTGCATATTCTAGGTTTATTACCTGGGTTAGAGATCGATTACTCATCTCTGCCTCATCCTGGTTGTCAGGAAACTATTGATATGCATACTTTTAATTATGAGAGCATTGAATTTTGTGATGTTTGCTTTATCTTCATTTGTATTCCTCATGCAGTTCACAGGAGACGATATTATGCTCACTTCACAATTTGTTATGCACAGTTCTTTTCTCTGACAGATCCTCGGAAAAGCCTTTCATATTTTTTTCTGCACAGCCTGTCACCATGCAGCTCTCTGCAGGCTGGAGTCTTTATTTGCTGGCTTCATCAACATAAATGCAAAACTGTTCTCTCTCTACCTGTGCTCTGGCCTGCTTGACTGTGAGATCTGTCAGTCTAACATAAATAAATACGTATCATGTGCCTCACAAAGGTATTTTCACATAGGTTTGTAAGATCTGATCTACAGTCTGTTGAACTCAACTGAAAAACAGCAATTGGCATGAGTAGTTTGTATTCAGTGAATACGCAGTACGGAATCAATTATTTATTAATCACTTGGTATTTATTAGATGCCCAGCACAAAATAAGCATCTGTTAAAAAAAGCCACCAACAACTGTTCTAGGGATGGAAATGTGTAGGCAAGATAGATTGTAAATCTTGTTAGCTGCCAGGTTACAAAAGACTGGCTCTGTTGGAAGGTTACTGGCCCCTGTGTTGCTGCTGCCAGAAATGAAAGGGGAAGACCAAGGGTTCCCAAATTTTGCTTTCCCTGAGTTTTCCTGAATAGCCCTGCGAGGGGGCAACTCTAGTCCAGGCACCACACGTAAGGGGAGACCCAGGGAGGTCCTTCAGTGTTGTGGTATGTGTCTTTGCTGTGGTATTTGTAGCACAGTTTGAGAAGCAGCAGCAGCGTGGTGAGGGAATTGGGAGGGAGCACCAGGTGAGGGGCCCATGCCCCGGGAGGTGCCGACACCGCATTTAGCCACGTCTGCGTGCATCGGCGTGGGAGCTTTCCTACCCCACAGCATGGGTGTGGGCTCCGCTGCAGGGAGGTGGTTTGGGGCTGGGTGTTAGACCATGGTGGTGCCTTCTGGATCTAAAATCTCTAAATAACAAAAGTGATTGTTTTAACAGTATTTCATTTAAAAGCATGTCTTAAACAAGGGAGAAGGGACATTTCCTGAGTCTCACTAAAAGCGAAAATGAGGCTCTGCACTAGGAAGAAATGTCTCGTTTCCAGAGAAGAAGACTTCTCCCTGCAAAATGAAAAATTCCTTTCCACACTGTCTTTTTTTTCCCATTTATGAATTTTATCAAAAAACAATGATGCTGGCAGTGACAATCTGATACTTCAAAAATTGTCTACTTAAATGTGATCCTGAAACCAGAGTGCTTTTAGAGGGGAGGTCAGCAGATGGGAGGCAGAATCCAGTAGTTATTCTACTAGGCTCTCTTTTGCTTTAAAAAAAGCCAGGATAAATCTCTGCCGCTTTTTGAGACTGAACTGACAGTGTGGAAAGGAAATGTGCTAGGATACCAAAGTGCTTTTAGTCACAGATATATTTAATGTTAACCAGTGATAACACTTCCCAGCTCTGCAGAAGAGACGATGCAGTCCAGAGGTGAAGGCAGACAGGTCGGCATAATAGTTTCTCACCAACCTTCCTCTCCTGGGAGGAATCGACGCAGTCAGGGAGAAGGGCGTAGCAGTCTCAGCCATGTGGTGCGTGGTCCTGGGGCAGGGCAGGGGGGTGCCCCACACTGTCAGAGCCTACAGGCGCTCCTGGAGCCTCTGAGGGACTCTTGCTCCAGGCAGGCGCTGGTCCGAGCCCTCGCTCTTGTGGGGGTCTTTGCCAGGTCTCCCCCCAGTGACCCCCAACACCATTCAGGTAGGATTGGGAAGAGAATATGTGATTCTGATTCCCACAGCACCTGAGGTTCAGCTGTTGCCGTCGGGGCACTCACATGCTGCCCCTCTGGAAGCTCTCTGTGCATTGGCAGCAATTCAGTGACCTACAGGTTAGGTGACAGGGGAGAAATTTGAGGGTAAGCACAGTTTAACCGGTCCTGACTAGTTTTGTATTGTAAGACAGCTTTCAGTGAAAAAAGGTATGGAGCTACAGCTTCTCTTCCTGTTTTGTCTGAACTTCCTTCCACTTGAATTCCTTTTTCAGGAATGGCAAGGAATGTACTATGCGAAAAAGAAAAATGGAGATAGCATACAACAAAATGTGAAGATACTACCTGTCGTTGGACAGGGAGGGTAAGTATGAAAGTGAAAGCCATGATTTAGGTCTGAATCAAAGCTCAGTTTAGAGTTCAGTAGCTTTCAGCAGACATTGGATTATCCTGTTACTGAGTATAAAGGAAACTTATGCAAGGAAGGGAGCCTCAGACCTCTGCATTTAATTCATTGGGGCAAAATCAACTTTACGTGCTATGTGCAGGGAAAGTGAAATTCTCCTAATTCTCCCCAAAAAGGAGCCAAAGATCCAGGTGTGCTCACTTGTGACTCTTACTCTTCTAATACTTGCTGGAGTGCAAGTGCACCCTCCTCTCTTTCTGTGCGTTGTGTTGGGACTACCAGGACCTATGTCCTCTTCCACTGTGCACCTGTACTATGTCTTTCCGTTCTTGCCTACTCATGGCTGTTGCCGAGTGTCTTGATGTGATGAGGTCACTGTGTGCTTTGATCCTGGTCAAAATTCAAGCATGTCTTGATTTTTTGTGCAACTACCACTTGGTCCCCAAATAGAGCATTTGGAGCATACAGGTATATGTTAGTTATTGGTACATTTACGATGAGTCCTTCTGTACTATATTGGGAAAGAAAGTGGATCAGATTGCGTGGAGTAGTAGTTTCAAAGCCCTCTAAGGCAACACAAACATTAATTAAAAGCCCGACACATTATCTTCCAGACTTGGCCAAGACAATCATTAGAAAGGTGTGTCTTCATGAAGGAAAGGCCAAATGCAGCTTCTTCATGCAGTTACTTCCTAAAAAAAAAGTGTTTTGCGTTGATTTCATCCCTGGAAGTAACTCATGTTCTCTACTGTCCATCAATAGAGTAAAAACATATTTTCAGCTTAAGATGCCAAACTTGTAAGACCAATATGTATTACATACACTGCTACTTACGGAACAATCTAAGCCCATTTGAAGCTAGCTCAGAAAGTTTCCTGGTAATCAAGGGTGTAGTTTTCAGTCTGATTGCTCTATCCCTAAATCTTATAGAAGGTTTTGATTGTTGGACTGCACTGTTGCATGTTTCGCATTTGTATCATACCTGAAACATCCTACAGTAGCCCAGAAGAAGCTGGCGCGGGGGGGGGGAACAAAAAAAAAGAAGAAAAAAAACTTTACAAAAAAACC